TTTTCTCATTTCGGGTAGTAGCTGCGTGGAATGACCTTCTTCCAGCGATTGTTCACGCTCTTTCTAGAACCCAGTTTAAAGCACTATTAGACATTTATTTATGCGAACCCTCGCGCTGGAAAGCATACTGCCCAGGGCTGAAAACATAAAGAGCAGTGCTACACCCTTTTTTCACTTCTGCCTCTTAGGTGAATGGCAGCCACTGACCGACAAGAACCAAACCGACCCGGGAAACGCCTCGATCCTGTGTATCAATCTGTGAATCCGTGAATCCGTGATTGGCTCACATTCTGTCCAATCAGGTGGAGCATGCATTCGTTTGCTTCGTAGCAGCTCGCGACAACCCCTCCCACCAGCCTGATGTTCTCTGTTTGAGGCAGCTGTCTCCCGTAAATCGGGAAGAAACCTGGGGTTCATCAAGTCAGCATATCCAAAGAATTTCGAAAGTACCGAGAGGGAGAGGGTTGCTGGCGTCGGCGATTAGAAGGTCATATGACTAAGTATCCCGAGAGGTTTTTGCGCTCTTTTCAATTCACACATCATATTGCTCTTATAGTAGGACCGATCTGATATAATCCTATCTATCAATAAGGTCATGAAGCGTCAAAGAGTTCAGGGACAAGGATCCGAAGCTGTAGCGGGCTCCGGAAACTTGAACACTCCGAGAGATTAAATGGTTACATTCTGAGATGTCGTCGGATATAGAGTGAGCTGTTGTACGCCTGGAGAATATCGTGTAGTAATTGCGGTGAAAGTTTATAAAAGCACTATACTAGGTGAAATTCCGACCACATGGGCATCTATTTGAGCACAGGTGACTACGTTTGGAGCCTTTTTATTACTGTGTCCTCGGGGGTGCTAATTCGTGGAACGGTCCACCTGGTTAGACAGTAGTCACAGAATTCCGAAGAGATTGCCAGAGGAGTTTGGCAAACACCTGAGAGTGAGGACCACAGGATTCCACAACATCTGTGTATAGAATCCCGCTGATGAAATGACAAGCTGATTTATCCGGAAGTGCTGAAGCCTACAAAGGTCCTCGCGCTTTATGGATGATCGAAATGTAGTTTTTGAGACGCTTTGGGTACCCGATTACTGGGTTGAGGGAGCAGGTGTTGCGGTTGCTGCGCATCTGTGTTGAATTAAAGCTGCCGAGACTCAGCTGATTGGTCGTGAGACTGGGACGCGCAGAAGACAACCAACGCCTGCTGCCATTGTGCTCTGACGAAAAATTACGTGTACAAACTTGCAAAACTGCCCGGCTACATAGCCCCTCACATGCGAGGCAACCTTAAGCGGAGGTAGAAGATATCGAAGTCAGCTACAAGTGATGTGATTTCCATTCCTTCTGATACTTGTGTGGATTTTGGTTGTGCACCTGTTTTTGCTACCCTTCGACGGTGCGCAGGATGCTCATACCCTTCTTGACGCTTGAAATGCACTCAAACGCCGACCAAACTCATTGAGGCCATCTCCTTCGGACAATCACTCTGACTAGTCTTACTGGAAAGTACTATCCACAACCTTCTAAGATGCTTGGCGTCCCCCTGGTTGTTGAACAATGCAGCCAGCCACATCTCAGAACTGAATCCCGAGTATGAATCTGTTCAAAGGCTGGACACCTGTTCTTCCTGAAGCAATATCCGCAAATTGTTGGACGTCAGGAGGAAGGATCGAGAAGGTCGACAGGTTCAGAAAGCTGTATGAAAGCTGTTCCAAGTGATACGCGCAACAAACCCAAAAGTGCATCTGATGGAAAGAACGATAAAATAAAATTGAAAAAATAAAATAAAATCGGTTCGTTAGTCTCTATAAAATGCCCTGAATATTTAAAGTGAACACTGAACATTAATTCAACTTCAATCTGCTACTACCCGACCTGGCTTTCGATCGGCAAATGTGCGGTGAATTTGGAACCTTCAACAGCATTGGAGCTAAACGAGTTCTTCGTTTCCTCGAGCAACACTGGGCTGTCGGTCCATCTGACTATTTACCTATGGGGCCGACATCTTCAGCCAGTGCTGGTCTGACTTGTTTGTCTCTCCTGGATAAGCGGACCACCCCAACCAACTGCGACCACAGTAGTGCCATTTTCAAAATGGTGTTAATCTCGAATGTCACAATCTATGGGAATCTGTGTGACCCCCTTTCTAACTTGACTGCCTACATCGCTTACGAAGGTACGTGAAGATATGACCCATGAACATCGAGCAGGATTCTGGTCGAGAATAGGCTGTGAAGACCACACCCTCGTCACACACTTTGTCAAGCGTTAGGATATCGGTATGCGAATAGAAACCCTATATTTTTAGTTTTCCCTGACTTCAGTGTTGAATTCAATTCTGTCGACCGATCTTCCCAACACGGTTGTACAGCAAGGTATCTTCCATACGTCCGTGAATAACTCGTCCTTCGGATTCGGAAGTCTTCAGGTGCGCAGGAGCATATACGGAACTCTCTAAAAGCTTTCCTACAAACAGCGGTGTCCGGCAATGATGCCCACTTTCCCCTTTCTTGTTGAGTTTCCTTAGTACTGAGGTAGTAGGGCAAAATCGGTGGGTTGCCTGAACTTGGTCCCTTGGCCTCTTCGCAAGAAAACATTGTTGACACGGAATATGGAGACGACATTCTTTTCATATTTGAAAAAGAAGAAAGGCGCAAGCGTTATTAGAAGGGTCCATCCAGTATTTTTGCATACGCTTCGCACCCACAAATTGCAAAGTCATACTGGTGGATGTACAGTCTTTGACTCTAAGAGTGCAACGGAAGGCATTGGAAGTTGTGAAAAATTGTTCGTACATCAGAAGTTGTGTTAGTGGTGACAGACGAATCTTAAGGATTAGAATTGCGTTTTGCTATTTTGGACCACTGATATTATCAGAAAGGAAGTATCAGGTCTCCCGTGGCATGTGTTAGGCTAGTGTGTTCTGTTCTGGTGTATGGCTGCAAAACTTGATCAACAGGGGTGGCAGGTCTGCGACACTTAGGACCTTGCCCACCGATGTCTTTGTTCGGTGCGTTCAGGATTGACGAGAGGTTCTGGCGAATTTCAGCTGACTCTTCCGCCAACACCAAATTAATTTGACAATAGGTATCAGACGAAACTTACCTTGATCATAAATTGAGTCATTTCAGAATGTCACTTCCGTGGATTGGATGTCGCTACGAAAACCTTGCTTTATATGCGCCTTGTTGCTACATTGTTATAATTAGCGTCGGGATGAACTTTGAAAAAGCTCTGTATGTTCGCCACCCTGCCTAGGGAGCCAAGGCTGTAATTTGAATTACGAAAGGGTGTATGCACGAAGACACTTCTCAACCTGAGCTAACAAGCCACCGTCTTTTTAGGTGCACCTCTCAAGGACTACCCTCCTCTGGGGTGTCACTTATCTACACTACATGTGTATGTTCTGTGTACTATCCTAGAATGATTTCTGTTCCCGTTAAATTTTGCAGTCGGTGAAGTCCGTTACTTGCTCAGTGAACCCCATCGGACTGTCCTTCCTCGCAATACTTATCCGGTTTGATAATCAAACTTTTCAAATTAATCCACAAAAATGTGCGGTAAGTTCTGTCGTTCTGTTGTTTATCATTAGTTGATACGTCAACTGGACTTTGTGGTCGTTGCAGTTGTATATTGGACGGATTCGAGTTTGCGATGATCTCCAATAACTTCGAATAGTTTGTTAATTTTTTTCAGTGTGGTTTGCACAACTGGGACACCAAGCCGACCAGGTCGTTCACTACCAGGTGGCGCGGGGTCTCATATGCTTCCAGATTTCCGGGTGTGGACAGGAACAGCAGGAAACTCAAAGTTTGACGGAACTTGTCGGTCGCTGTCTTGCACTTTAATGCATCAGTGTTCTTAAGCTCCAGTCCAATTCACCTACTTAGAACCGGGTGACCAGACAAATACTCTAATAGTCCACAACCTTCGAAAAATATCGTACACATCTTGAGTACACCCAGCTGAACTATACAAACTATTGATGCTTAGCCACTGAATGATCGTTAAGTCCTCTGAGCAAATTCTCAGATTTGAAGGCACTTACATCGACTGAAACTGAGGGGACAGAATAAGGGTCTCCACGCTAGATCCTTATCCAAATCCATTTTGGAAAGGGTTGGCCGGTGTTTTCCGCTCACCCAGTACTATTTATGATCTCACACAGACCATTCGTATAAGCAAAAACAATCACAAGGCGTGAGCTTATCAAGAACCTATTTCTCCGTATGGGCAAGTCGTACGTAAACTCATGCACACATCCCGACGGTGGAAGGAAAATTTCAACACACCATGTTCCCAGTTTACCCAGATCAACGCATAAACCAAGGACTACCTGACCTTCAGTATTACCCCCTGACGACGACTCTCGTTAATAAAAACCACCCACTCTGCCCTCCTGTCAGCATCAGTGTCATGGCTATCATCAATAGTGTCACTGTCGTCACCCTCATCGTTGTGAATACTGTTACCACGACCTGCACATCGCTTCCATCGTGAGTGGAATGTCCTGTGCTATCTGTATTTCTGTTCACCATCTGTCGAATAAGACTCTTGTAGCATTTAATGTATGAAAAGGCTAATTGTCTCTGTGCTAGTGGGCCTCATCGATCTGGTAACGTACACGGATTTTGTGCATTTATGCTCATTTTGACGCCTGTGATCCATGTGCGGTCATTCCTGACCACTTTGTTGAGATGAAGTACACTACTATCTTCTGGACTGTCTCATAAATTGTGTGCCGCCGTTTGTGAAGGTAGGGACGATAGCAACCTATGTGTTTTAGACAGCACTGAACCTGCTTTCAATTATTGCAATTTTTCAGGAATATTCGCCTATCTGAATTACCGTGTACCGGTCACTCGTCAGGAAGTAGCCACGTTGTTGCTCAATGGGCTTCGACGTCTGGAGTATCGTGGTTATGATTCGGCAGGTTTGGCCATTGACTGTGGTGGCGTGGAAGTGATGAACGGCGTCGCCAATGGGACTCATCCTCCTGGGGATCCGGTGACCATCATACGTTGCAAAGGCAAAGTGGCAGCTCTTGTTCAGGCCGTCGAAAGTACGTCTTCAAGTGCGGTTGTTTTCAATGGAGAGACCACTAAAAAGACCGAACCAGCAGCTGTGACTTTCGAAGATGACACGCCAAATGAAACAAAGGGGGTAACCAAAAGCAGCACAGTTTTTGTCCCTCTTGTACAGACAAAATAACAATCGGGACGAGTGTGACATGAGCTAATCCCGATTTTTCCTTAGAAAATTTGGCCGTGAGCTCTCGATAATTCCTCGTTGTGATAATGGAATGATGCGATGTGTCTCATAGTGATGAAAATGTTTTAGTTCGTTCATACGACATTTCATTGGAACGTGGAATAGCATGCTCTGGAACTAGCTCATGACGTTTGATGATTTGCGGACTGCTCGTTTTTAAGTATGGGATTACGCAATCATCTGCAATGTGCACGGTATTGTGAATGATTACGTTCACTAGTTGTATGGAAAGTTGAATGTTTCCTTGCCTGAGGCAGTTGTTCGAAGTCCACCCGCCTTATTGTGACTTCGTCAGCTCTTTCATATACAAACGTGGTGCGGAGAATATTTGAAATAATCCATACATACGACCCAGCTCCTCTCTACAGAAAAGTGCAGATGACGTCACGTCGACCCGTGATGAAAATTGTTTAGACGAAATCGTCTCGATTCAGTAGGGGATCCGACCACTGTTTGCGAACGGCGATTAGCTAAAGTTTGACGCTGTCATCTAGAAGACGAAACCAAGGTTCTCTTTGAATTTGATTGAATAATGCACAGCCACATTTACCACATATGACTGCAGAACTCCAAATGAAAAGCTCTGAAGAGGTGATCTGATCTCGAGAATTGATGAATAAATTAATCGTCTTACGACTGTGAAGCTAGTGTATCAAGGGTGCGTTGAGAAATGCCAAAGCTGAGAGGATTGAATATGGTCGGGAGGTGTGGTCCGGGCCAATGAAGAATGTGAGAATTTTATTGTGAGGACTTCTGTAAAACTTTGTGGCGACATATTGTACACACAGTACGTGGTAAATAGTATATATATATATATATATATATATATATATATATAG